GGTCTGGGAAACTGCTGGGGAGCTCAGAGCTCAGAGCTCCCTCTGTGAACACGGCCCAGCCTGCTAGAAGCTCCTTGAAGAGGACTGACTGCCTTGCCCAAGGCCGCATTACCCAAGGCTGCGAATGAGCTCCTGAAATTTTGGAGGAAGGACTAGGGCATGAGACTGATAAGGAGCTTTGCAAAAAGAGTCACTGCACAAGCACACAGCAGCAATAATAGCATGAACAGGAAGCACGGGGCAGCACACATCTCTAACCCCAGTACTTAGGAGGCTGAGGCAAGAGGATCCCGAGTTTGAGACCAGTCTGGACTGCAAGACAGTCCTGTCTCAAAAAACCAGCAAAACAGAAAGATCAACAAAACCCTTGTGTGAGGAGGATCTGATTTCTAGATATGCCAAGTTATGTTATTTAAAATGTCTATTTATTTAAAAAAAGGTATGTCATGCAGAGAAATAAAGTTGCTTAATCTATCTGTTTCAAAGACCTAGAAACAATGATCAATCCAGCAGCTAAGCACCCCCAGAGCCAAGACTGTGGTCTCTAAATACTGTCTCCTATTCAGCAGGAAAATACAAATGAAGGATTTCTTTTTAAAGAAGTGATTGATTCATCTCATGCTTGGGAAAGGAAATATACAAGTCAAGACTGAAACATCTTGTCAGGAAGAAAGGAAAATGATCAAAACCGAGCAGTGGCATGGTGAAAGAAACAAGAAGCCACTTGAATAGACTACAGCTATTAGTAGTCTAGTAGGTAGTAGGCCAGAGGTGGGGTGATTTGAATGTGTCAAAAATCACAACTGACCAGAAGCCATCAAACACGTGGCATCCCCCTTCATTCGGATGCTTCCTAACAGCAGACCACGCGACGAGAACTGAATCCAGGGTGCTTACTGGAGAGGGGTCTCAGGAAACACGAATAAGAGGGAGGAAAGAAGACAGAGAAGGGGAAATAATAACCGCAGTGTTCACTGAAGAGCTGAAGGCTCCACTAGATCATGCGGCATGTTTTTGAGAACTGTCCTCCGTGGGAGAGTGAAGCTGCCCCTCATCGGTTAAAGGTTCTTTTGAAGCATCCAGCTTCTCCTTTCTAGACTGCTCCGTGGTGGGCCGAGCAAGCTGTTATCAAAGAAAAGTGCTCAAAGGTGCCAAAGCAGGGTGATGTGAGAAACGGCGGGCGCGCGCTGCCGTGGCCCGACATAGATGCAGGTGAGCTCGGGGCCACGGGGCTGGGCATCAGCTGAAAGTCTTTTCCTGTGAAAACGAGAGATTCAGGCATTTCTTGTGTTTTTCCTAAATGACGTGTGTCCCAGAGAAATGATATAGTTTGTGAAAGGATGTCTTTTGTGGATGTTTCCCAGATAACGAATGCTTAAAGGAATAACAATATATCACAGTTTTTAACTGCAGCAGAAGTAATGAGCGTCACAAAGATTCTAAACATCTGCTACCATCATAAGAACATATAGCCAGGCCTCCTGAACCTCTTTCTGGAAGTATACAAATCCTCCAGTGAAGGTTGAGTACCAAAGACATTAAAGCTGAATTTTGTCCAGCCTGTAGATTTAACCATCATTTACAGGAAATGTAGGCAGCCAAGTGACGTATTAAACAACCATGAAGAAACAATCAAGAAACTCTAGATTATAGGAAAGTCTCCAGAACAAAGGAAAAAAGTTCAATCAACAGAATAAATGCAGTGAAAGAGGAAAAAGAACACCATGAATTAAATAGATGTAGAGGACATAGCAAGGCATTGTAGCCTATGGTTTTGCTTGGATGCTGATTCCAGCAGTCTTCCAAAATTATAAGAAAATTAAGGAAATTTGTACAATATTTGGATACTTGATGATATTAAAATTATTGTCTGTGGTGTGAAGATATATGAATAATGAACTTGAGGTTTCAGTTAGAACAGCAAAAATGGGCCCCTTCCAACTTCTGATATTTTATCATAGGAATCAGTTAACACAAAACGTTGCTTAAAGTAGATGCTGCTAGAGAGATGGGTGATTTAAATGTCAAGAACCTGAAAATGATGCTGGGCGTGGTGGCTCACACCTATAATCCTAGCACTCGGGAGGCTAAGATAGGAGGATTGCTGTGAGCTCTCGACCAGCCTGGGCTACCTAGTGAATTCAAGGCCAGGTTGAATTACATAGTGAGAGTTTGTGTGGTAGTTCACTGATTGTGTGAACTTGAGTAAGAAATAGCCAGCTAAACTGGATGAGCATGGTTCTGGGTGTGGCCGCAGGGATTTACTGTAGACAGAAGACCCCTGAGTGTGAGTGGCACCAACCAGTAGGCTTGCCACCTGAGTGGCATAAAAAGGGAAAGGAAGAAGGAAGGCCAATTCTGTTTCTTTGGAGGAGCTCTAGTCTTCACCTTCACCTTGGACATCATCTCCTGGTTCAAGCGCAGACTATTCAGCCTCCCATCATAGACAATTCAGCCTCCTGAGAGGGACTCACACATGACACTGCAGTGGGCTCCTGGCCTTTGAGTGCATCTTTTGATCTCCAGCACGCAGACAGCCCTTTTGCGCTTTTCTACACCTGACTCTGGGCAGCCTTGTAAGCTTATCTTGTATATTCTTATATATTTGTATATCTTGCATTAAATCTGTTTCTGTAGTGAGCACAGACTGATACCCTGTCTCAAAAAATAAAAGCTTTTGAAAAAGAGCAAGCTCTGAACACAAACAAATCAATCCTCACGTCTGTGAAAAGCCAAGAAAACAAAAAGGGAACCATACCTGGGAGACATGGAAAAACTTTAATGTTTTTCCTCATATTACTTTGAAAGGCAGACAGAGGAAGAGAAACTAGTTGCTTTAAGTCTCCTTAAATGGAGACAAACTTCAAATGATTTTCAAAGTCATGATTTATTCTTTCTGGCTAGTCCTCCTTTGAGCAAACATGTGAATTTATATAAGAACTGAAAGGCAATATTTCTCTGAAGTTCTAATTATTAGCCCCAATGTGAGCCTCTTAGAATGAAACAGATAAGCCTAACCTCTCCATATATGTGTCTCGATCCTCTTTCTAGCCACATGTCTATTCAATCCAGTTCTACTTACAGAACTTTTCTGCATATCCTTAAACCTATCCATTTTGAAAACTTTAAAGTGAGATTGGGTTGGGGTATATGCTCACTGAGAGCTGGGCAGTTCCATGGCTTGGACCCTCCTGTTCTGGAGAACGTGTTCCAACCCCAGGGATTTGCTGGTGTCTGTTGGGAAGTCCCTTTTAGCATGGCATGGGGTGGGTGGGGTATGGGATGGTTTCTCAAGAGATGGCCTATGCCAGTCTTTGCGCGTTTCCTGTGGTGCTCATGTATCTGAAAGCCTTTGGCCAATGCTTGGCAGCAGGCCAGGAGAGGAGGCAAGCCTGCTTCTCCAGGACCTTCGGGGTGGCTGTGCACCGGCTAGGACCTCTTGCATCCCTCGTTAGGTTCCTTGTCTCTTCTTTCCTCACCTGGAGTGGATCCTGCTCTTTCCCCACCTGGAAAGTCCTGCCCACAGGATCTCTTACTCTCAGCCCTTATCCCAAAGCTTTAGGCCACCAGCTGCCCACGAGCCACCAGCAGTGGCTCGGCTGAGGCTGATGCACCCCTCCCCAGCTCCTACTGAAATAGGACAGGTGCACTCAGAAAACAGGAGACGTGAGTCTCAGGCATTGATCCACGACACACTGAAGACAGAGGCATTTTTCTCTCCATCTTTCCTTACTAACAGTGTGCGGCAACTGCCTGGCCTTGCTCCCCACCCACCCGCTTCTTTTTTTTTGTCAAAGAGTAGGAAGAATTTATTGAAAGAAAAAAAGCTTCTGTCTGAGGGGTAGAAGGGGGCCCTGAAGGTGGGTTGTCCATCAACCCCACTTCGCAAGGGTGCTTTATTGCTGCTTCCTATTCTTAGTGCTTGTCATCCCACGGCAGAGGGGATGCCAGGTGTCTCCATCAGTGAAATGGCACTGACCGATACCCGTCACTGGGAGGGAAACACGAGGCCATGCCCATGGCCCCACGGGAAGTCCCAGTCCCTCACCCATAAAAGCTAGTCCTGTTCTTTTGTCTAGGGGCCAGTCTGACCATTAAAGCTGTGCTTCTTTCTGCTCTTCAAGCTAAATCCTTGTCCCTGTTTCCCCCCCACCCCATTTTAATTAGTGGATACTGATTATACAGATTAATGGACTCCACTTTGGCAGATTTGTACACGTACACAAGCATACTTTAATCATTTCCCTTCCTCTACCCGTTCTGCCTCCCTCCCCCCAGTTCCACATTCTTTCTTGGCTTTCAATGTGTACAATGTATTTTGATCATATTCATCCTCCCATCACCTACTCTTACACCTGCCATTCCCTCTTACCTTCCTCTTGTCTAGTGAGTCGCCTCAACTTGAGATTTTCTGAGTCTGCGTAGTAGGGAGAACAAGGGATATTTGTCTTTCTGAGTCTGACTTATTACTCAACACGATGATCTCCAGATCCATCCATTTTTATGCAAATGACAACATTTTGTTCTTTTTAATGGCTGAAAAATACTCCACAGTGTGTGCATACCACATTTTTCTTTATCCATTCATCTGCTGGTGGGCACCGAGGCTGAGTCCATGTTTTGGGTATTGTGTGGGTTGTGCTGCATTAGCACGGGCATGCAGGTATCCCTATGGTGTGCTGACCGTTTAACCCCATCCAACAAATCGGGTTGCCTGTGTCTCTACCTGATGTGTCTGGAAATCCCTTTTTGTGATAAACTCGAAGAACCTGTTCAGTGAGGGTTAGAGGGGGCAGGTGGGGGATTTCCATCTCCTCTTTGGGAGCGCTCCTCAGAGGCAGTCATGTGGGGTGCTAATTTTGTGATTTTCATCTGAATTAAGCAAAAGAACCCTTGGCTGATTTGTAACACCACTGACTCCTCTGTGAGAGTCCAGGACCTTGGCTGAGAGAACTAAAAATAACCGGAAGTGCTCTAGCTAGGCAGTCTCCTGGGGCTGGGGGAGCTGACGCTCCAGGAAAGGGAACCCTGGAGGCTGATGGACGCTCTGAGCACCGCAAGCACCGGTGTGCTGCGCTCAGGTGAGCAGCAGACGCACATCCAGGCCCCTCTGGTTGTGCACACGCTGCTGCCCGTGTGGCGACTTGAAGTGCTGACTGCGTGTTGAGGGTGCCAGCTTGTTTCTTGGATACCTTGCCGGAGGAAGTGACTAGAAAACGAGGTCTGGAGTGAGGCGCTTCATGCAGCCAGCTGGGCCGGGGCAGAGGGGAAGAGGAAAGACATTTTCACCTGGGCAGGAGGCTGTGACAGTTGGAGGAGTCACAGCCCCAGGTGTAAAGCTCCCTTTGGTCCTTACTAAGGGTACGGCCGGAGGCTGTTGCTTTATATCTGTGCTCATCAGGTTTGTTTTCCCACCTGTGGAGTGGGAAGGGCGTCTGCCCAGGTTGTGGAAGGGAGGATTTAAGGGAGGTGTTGAAGGGATTATCTCTGTGCTGTCACGGAGTTGACAGCAAAATGGTAATTCCTTCCCTCTCCTGGCTGTCTTCCTTTACCTAGGAAATGGCACAGCAAGCGCTCAGTGTGTTCACCACATTCCTGATGTTCGCGGCGGTGTTACAGTCTGAACCCCCAAGTTTGGCTTAGGAAGCCTCTTGAGTCTGGGCTTCCTGGAGAGCTATGAACTGGTGACAGACCGAGGTGGGGGGTGTTGGGAGGGTCAGGTTAGCTCAAGGCTTTTACAACCATTAGTAATTCAAGAGGCCAACTTTGTGGGCTAAAGCCAGCATTAAAACAACAACAAAAATGTGGAATAAATTAGAACAGAGTCCCACAGAATAGATGCAGCAAGGCATTCCAAAAAATAAAGGTCTCAGTAATGTAATGTGTGTGTGTGTGTGTGTGTGTGTGTGTGTGCGCGCGCGCGCTACCTTGGAGGGTGAAATGTTTTTCTTACTGAAGGTATGGGCAAAAAAGCAAGGAAAAAAGAAACAGAAAAAGAAAACCCACACCCATATGAAGGTCTGGAGGACCCGAAACCTCACTGGGAGAGTGACGGCTGCACCGGAGTTCAGGCCTTCTGAACAATTAGGTCCCTAGAGAGCCGCCTACTGCTTGCAGTGGCTTTGGAAGTTTTTGGGCAGTAATTTAATTTGACATTTTCTGGGTAAAACAGATGGAAATGCTAGTCTGAAATTCCCCACAGGATGCAAATGACTGAGGGCGATTTGGATGGTTGACCAGTTGCCACAGACAATTTTTTTTTGCCTTAAAAATAAGCACCAGCTTTTGGCTTGGTCAGTGAGGGGCCTGGGGTGGATGGAGTAGAAGCAGATGGAGAAAGAAGCATGGCTGGGGATGGGGTGTGAGGGGGTGTGAGGTGGGAGGGAGAGCTCTGAATTGTGAGACTTCCTTCACTCAACCTGGGACAGGTGCGTCACTATAGGCCAGGTGTTTCTCTTGCCCTTCTAGAGCATGTTACATAATGGCAGAAACAGATAAATACTTGCCAAAGAAAGATTTTTTACTCAATGAGTTAAAATTCTTGCTTATCAAGATTTAGGCCAGGTGTGGTGGTGCATGCCTGTAATCCCAGCACGTGGTAGGCTGTGGCAGGATGATCAGGGTGAGTTTGAGGCCAGCCTGGGGTACATAATGAGTTCAAGGCCAGCCTAGACTACATAGCAAGACCCTGTCTCAAATTGAAAAACAAACAAAAATAAAAAGGGTTCAATGTGTCAGCTCAATGGCAGGGCATGTGCTCAGTGTACACGAGGTCCTGGGTTCAGTCTCTGGCAGATGAGGTATTGGGAGGTGGATATGTAAAGTTTACCTGGGTCTAATATGGGCCCAAAATATGCTTTTAAAAATGATTTGAGATACATGCATAGATTGTTTTGATTTCTGTTCTTAGTCTCAAAACTAGTCGAGAGGGGGATCAATGATTTATCTCTTTCTGTACACACACACAGTGCTAAATTCAGGTGCCTTTTAGCTCTGTGGCCCTTGTCTTTTCAGTGTGCTGGTGGCCCTCAATAGCAGAAAGCTCTCCTCACCCACCTCCGGCAACTGGACAAACTCCTCACTCCCCAGGGAATCCTGGACACCCTGCCATGCGGCTTATGAGACTCGTACTTGAGAGTTTATTTAACAAAACTGCTTGCAGTCATTTCTTGATGATAAGAGCAGTACTTGCACATCGTCCTGAATATAGAGAACACTGTAAAGTGCATTCCTGGAGCTTTTTGTGCATGGAAATTGTTAGAGATCTGTTCAGAGGCTTAATCTGAGTTACATATGAAGAAGAAGGGGGGGCTGGGGATTTAGCTCAGCGGCAAAGCGCCTGCCTGGCAAGCGCAAGGTCGTGAGTTCGGTTCCCGGTACCGGAGAAAAACCAAAAAAAAAAAAAAAAAAAAAAAAAAAAAAAAAAAAAAAAAGAAGAAGAAGGGAAGGGATGTGTTTGGATAGGTTAATAGATTCGCAGAAGTCGTTCTCTTTGCTCTTGGTAGGAGAAATGTAGTGACTTCTTCCCCGGCAGGCTACAGTGATGGCAGTTTTATGAACCTCATGGAACCATTCTTGGCCCTTTTTCCCTGTGCCTGGCTTACTAACCACAGCCTTAGACTGGAAGTGACAGGACTTATGAAGCACCTGGGGCAGAGCCTTCAGCTGTATCTGGGCAGTGGTTTATACAGACGGTGTTTCTCAGCCAGAGATGGGAGGTGTACTAAAAATTCTCTGGTGGTTTAGCTAAACTGCTGTCTCTACTGTCCGATCCTGGTGTGTGTCAGATTTTCAGGGGTAAATGAATGTGGTTCAGAAAGCCCACAGAAAATCCAGTCCTCCCCTTCCTACCTCAACCTACTGATACAAAAGAAAATGTACTTGAATCCTGATGAAAGATACAGTGAATGGATGTGAGAAATGTAAAAATGGGAGGCAAGAGAATCTGGGAAAATAATCAGCAGCAGGCCCTGTTTCTCCGAATGCATCTTTGCCTGCACACAGCTGTCTCTTGACATTTCTAATATGACTTCCTGCACATCGTTATAAGCTGAGGGGAGAGAGCTCTTTGCCCGAGGCAGTGATTATCCCCAAAGCTTGGCAAATAGAGCTCCAGCCTGCTGCTGGAATGCTCTGTTCCCTCAGAACACCACGCTTGGTTGATAAACTGTTCTGGAGACCAATGATGTCAGCAGCCCAGGTAAACAAGTCATATGACCCAAAGCACATCGCGGTAACTGCTGTCAGGAAAACACTGCTTTACGAACATTTTCAACTTTCCTGCAACTTATGTTTTAGATGTGACTCTTGTAAGAGAATCAATTTAAACGTTTTTTCTTTTAATTTTATGTGTGTGCAGGATAAGCCATTCACGTTATGTGTACAGAATTTATGATTAATCTTTGTGGCTATTTGTCCCACCTGTTTTTCTCCCATTCATATCTTTAGAAAAAATTTGAGCATATCATCTTTTCCTGTTATTTTGAAAGTAGCATACTTCATTTCTATGCTTAGTAGTTTAAAAAAAGTAGTTTTAAACTTGATCAATAACTGTAACTTTCAAAGGGAGGGAACAACTGGGATGAGGGAAAAGAGAAAAAGAAAGGGAAGACTATGTATATATATCTACATAGATATATATACACACAGGGTAACTGAGAGAGATGTACTACTGACTTCTATTGCTTTAATGAAAGGAACAGTTAACGTTTAATTGTTTGATCAACCTTAAATGCCTATATTTGTTTAACTGAGTAACCAATTTGAAGTTAACTATATGTAATACAATATCTACTGTTAATTTTCTATCACCTTGTCTGAAACTCTGTATTGCATCTATTGTTTGGGTGTTGTTTTGTTTATGTTTGTTTGTTTGTTAATGTTTTCGTTCTTTACCTTTAAAAAGAAAAAAAGAAAAAAATAACTGTAGCTTCTTAGTTCAAGTGCCTTAGCACTTTTAACTCTACTTACACTGCTTCTGGTTTGTACTATGCTTGTGTAAATACTGTTTAATTTAAATCCGTAAGACATTATTATTATTGCTTCTTACAGTCAACATTTTCTTACTCATATATGTCTAGGAAATCTATTCTTCACTGATTGTCTTAAAAATACTTTGTTATTCCTGATTTTTGGTTTCACTGTAATGTGTCTAGGTATGAGTTTAATTCGTCTTGCTTGGGATTCATTGAGCTTTGACCTTTCGATGGTTGCTTCTTATCAGTTCAGGTAAACCCTGAGCCCTTATCTCTTGAAATACCCTCTATCCTACTTTCTCTTTCATCTTTTCGGAAAGCGATAGTGAGATCAGCGTTAAGACTTTGCACCCTTTTCATGTTGCTTAACTTTCATTTGTTTTTCTTTTGCTTTGTACCATGTTTGGAATCCTTCTGATTGTCTTGGTTACTACATTTATTTCCATTATGTTCTATTCATTTTTCAAATGTGTCATTTACAAATTTTTCTATTCTCTACAGGTATTTGAAAGTTTTTTTTAAAAATTAAAGTAATTAAGATAGTATTTTACAATCTATAATTTCAGTATCAGAATATCTGAACCCTTTGTAATCTTTTCTTCCAGCTGCTCTCACTCATGGTGTCTTGTTTCCTTGTGATTACTTTGTGAGCTGTTCATATTGCTGAGACAATTTGGGACTTCTTTGAGGCTTATGATGAAAGCATCCTTTCAGGGAGGGTCTGCTTTTTCTTCGGTCAGGTATTTAGGGAACTCTGCTCTCTAATTTAATCTTATTTCACAGTTCGATGTTTTTATAATGTGTAGGGAATGTGAATTTGGACACTATGGGCTTGCCTGTAGTAATAGCTTCTTCTTAGACTTTTCTTAACTTGCTCTGCACAAATCTAAAGCAACTTTTCTTACAGTCCCCGGGCACCGAAAGGTAGTCTTACTGTTGGTGAAGTTAGTCTTCATACCCATCCTATACAGTAGCCTTTCCGGGGGTGGTAACTGGAGGGTCTCTCTCCATCCTGTCCAATCAGATCCTAAAAAACGGATGTCCCTAGTCCCCAGGTTTGGTGAACACCCCAGGGCAAAAACACCTTCACTGCTTAACTCTCAGGATTCCATTTTCAGTTGAATTTGACCTGCTAATTCTGTACAGACTTGTTAGTTCAGTACTTTTAACTTTAAAAAAGAAAGAGAAAGCAAGCAAGCCATCAATTTGTTTTCGGTGGGAGGTTGGACAGAATTACCCAGCCTGCTTACATTTCTAGAAGCAGCATTTCTGGTTATGAATGCAAGGAGAAAATTTGTGTTGAGAGCTTCATGTTGCTGTAGATTTTTATTAGTTTCCTATTAATTTCTTATTAATCTTCCCATAACATATGAACAGGTTCCTTAATTTCATATCCTAAACTCGATTCTCCATCTGTGAGAAAAAGCATTTCAAGTAGCCACCAACTTTGGTATCTACATCAGTGAAGACTGTAGAACCTTTAAAAATTGAATTAAATTATATTATTTTACCTTGTGCTGGAAAGCAAGGTTAAGGTGATTAGAATCTTAAAATTCTTATATGTGCCCCCAGAAGTTCAAGGAAGAGGAGGAACCTTTCCAGAAACAGCCCTAAATTCTCATGTGTGCTCTGCAGTTAACCGGGAGGCCCTCTGGATGCGGAGCCTGTGGCATTACAGTGTATGTGAACTGTGTTTACTCAAGGAAGGATGTGTATGGACAGAGGGTTCATGGTACTGAAATCCTCAGAGGTTTGAGACTTAAATTGTAAGCTACAACTACCTACAAGGTAACTTTAGCTAAATAAAGTTATTTATACCTTAGCTACAATCCGTATGAGACACAGACCTATGAATTTAAGTGCTTTTGTAGAAATACTCAGTACCAACAGAGGCCACAGGAGTGGCATGTGAAGTGGGGATGGCAGACGGTGAATTGTTGAAGGCTTCCTGGAAGTTTGTCACCCAGAAAGAGTTCAGAGGCATTCCGGCGGAAGGGTCAGAACATATCAAAGCGGAGGGATGGAGGGAAAGCAGTTGTGTGTGCATGCATGTTGCGAGGTCTGTGTTGCTGGCAAAGAAAGCCAAAGATGAGGCATGGAGCTACATGTGCAGCCTGCGCCAGACCACCACAGGTCGTGGGCGCTGGGGGCGGACTGGGCTCTGGGCACTTTGTAGGTTAAAGGGAACAGATGCTTCACGCCAGGGATGGACGCTATTACATCTTATTGGACTGTTTGGGTAGCAAAGGGAAGGGAAGCTGAATTGAAGACTGGAAGACTAGATAGATAATTTTGTATTAGTTCATGAAGAGGTGTGAGAGGCTGAAATAGCAGTTGAAGACACAGATTGTAACATTTTTTAGTAGTTAAATCAACAGGAGTATGTAGCTGATTAAATGTGTGGGGTAGTTTCACTTGGGTGGCTGGCTGAAAATTTACCAGACAAGTAGGGCGCTCTAGAGGTCTGAGGCAGAGATGCACACACTGAGGCGTCTGCAGACACCTTAAGGCTGAATGCAGAGGGCTGGCATCAGCCAGGAAAAGGCAGGGGTGGGGGGTGCGGCCAACACCCGAGAGGCAGGCATGTGCCGAGCCAGGGGAAAGACGGAGAGTGATTAGATGACCCAAGAATGTTACAGTAGACAAGAATTCCCAGGGAGTAAATTATTAGTGGTGGCAAACGCAGGGAAGGCCTCACGTAAGAGATTAAAAGGCTGGCATTTCAGTGTCCTGGGGGATGAGTGACTCAGAGGTGAGACCTCACGGGACCAGGATAGGCTGGTGTCACCCAGGGAATCATGGTTGCTAAACCTTGGAGAAAGCAAGAATATGCTGCTTGGAGGAGGAATTTTTTTTGAGGAGGAAGGACTGGAAAAGAAGGAGTTGAAGATGAGTATTTTCTTCTGGGCTCAGAAGTCTGGTAGGAGTCTTCTGGCTATTTAGGAATTAATAAAAATGAAAGTGGTAGCCAATTCACTGGGACAGCTCCTAAGCACGCTAGTTAATCCACTACGCAACATATTCCCTAGTTTATGTGGAAGAAAGACAGCTCAGGAGCAAAGGACAGAATTATAAAATAAACACAGCAGGTTGGGAAAGTTGTTTTTCGCGGAATTTTGTTATCCCCAAGAATGATGTTTCTTTTCTCCTAGAAGAACATAAATCATTGTAAAACACCTTGGAGTAGGATCCGGTCTCTGAGCTCAAAGAAATCTGCAGCAAGCGTCTGCATCTGTGATCATCTCCTTCCTTCTAGGATGGAAGCACCTCCTCCCATGGAAGGCCAGCCCCCAGCAGTGCATTGGATCCTCACTCTCTCTACTTTCTCTGCATGCAAACCTTCATGGATCCTGTTCTGCTCTTGTCTTCAACTCTGCTCTCTCTCCTGGACCCTTTTCAGTGATAAAGCAGCAGAGGTTGACAGGAACATATACTACGTTTCACATCAGACTTGACTGTGTAAGGGAGCTCCTTTCGGACACACCTCTGTCTCTGCTGCCTGCAAGGAATGTCTCAAAGGCTCCAGTTCTTTCCAGGTGTCTAGTCCAGTCACTACTTTGAGTTCTTTACTCTGTATGATCTCTTGATAGCATTCAGTGCCTGAGCTGAGATGCTCTTCCTGGAGCTTTTATTACTTTACTCCTCTTGGTGTTCTGTTCAACTAGTTAGCTGTTGCTTCTTGGGATCCTTTGGCTGCTCTTTTTTTTTTCTTGTATGAAGAAATAAAACATTTTCATAACCAAGTGAGAATAACACGAGTTTTTCACTGTGTATTATCTTCAAAGTAGTTACTCAGTATAAGACATAAACCAAAAACATTCTTTCAAAAAAGAAAGAAATGACAAACTTTTTCAATAACAAACACAAACTATTAGTATAAATGAAATGAATTAACATGACAAGTTCCTCCAACAGAACCAACAGCTCCTTACAGCTTCTACCAGCTCCTAACAGCCTTTTAGTTCCCAGCAGCCTAACTTCTTCTCCAGTTCTGCCTCTTATGCTGCTGGCAACAATCCTCAGGTGGGCCTCCCACACCCAGCACCAGGCTTACTCAGTTCAGCTGGGGGTTATAAGTTAACCACCAGTTGTCAATACACTACAGTGAGTACCTTAGTTATTTCTTTCCCTGCTGAGACAAAATACCTGACACCCAAAGTTAAAGGAGGAGAGATTTATTTGGCCCAGTTTGTAGGAGCCAGTCCATAGGCAGCTGGCTCCAAGGGAGGGTGGTGTGGCAGAGGAGAAACAGTTCTTGGCAGGCAGAAGGCAGCAAAGCAGAGAAGTAGCAAAGAAACAGCATCTGGCCTGCTTTCTTTGTGTCCCTCTAATATCCATCCAGGCTACTAGCCCTTTGGACCTTCCCATTTTCCACATCCAGGGTTGGCCTTCCCATTATTCATAGCCAGAACTATGCCAAACCAATCAGTGGACTAATTTAGTAAACACACACCCTTAACTCCAGCATCATATACCCTAGGTCCAGCAACATCTGAAAAACTCCACCTGAGACTGCCTGAGGCTTTGGGTGGCCATCTAGACACCAACTATAGGATGAGGTAAGTCAGACACACAAGCTCAACTGTCACATGGTTTCTCTTAAGAGAAACACCATATAGAAAAAGAGCAAAACAGATAAATAGGAAGTAGGGAGATGTTTCCCCAAATGAAGTACTCCACTATTTTAAAAAGCATTCAATATATATGTTAATTTTCTCTTGTTGCTGAGACAAAATACCTGATGCCCCAAATTAAGGAAGGAAAGGTTTATTTAGCTTACAGTTTGTGAAGGTTTCAGTCCATACTCGGCTGGTTTCAAGACAGAGTGGCACATGGTAGAGGGCTAATATTCATGGCAGCAGAACACAGCAAAAACAAGAGCAAAAGGGAGGAATGGCAGCAAGCAGCCTCTTTCCCTCCCTTACACTGTATGCAAACTATCGGACACAGGGCGTGTGTAGCACTCACACTCATAATCCCAGGATTGGATCATGGATCAATCACAAATCCTAGAAGCCTGCCCCCATGACTGCATGAGGATTTGGGGGGACATGCAGACACAAACCATAACAGGGCTGTAGGCCTCCAGTTGGATTTGTGGGGGGCATTGCCATGAGCTCTAGGTCTTCAGCTGGACTCATGCAGGACAATTCCGTGGGATCCAGGCCCTCAACTAGATTCCTTGGTCTTAGTGTGTGGACAGATTTCCTGTACTCTCTTGTATATCATCCTTTGGGTGACTATTATAAATAATCTTATAAAATGTGTCCTGTATTATATTGTTCCCTTGCAATATCCCCCAAACCACAACATTCACTTAACAATATGTTCTCAAGTTCCATCCATTTACCTTAGTTTTATGTTTCATTATGGGAGTGTATGTTTTCTTTATATTCATCTGTTGATGGACATGTATGCTGTTTCCAAGATTTAGCTACTATAAATTGTGTTGCTATATACACAGGTATGCACAAATCCCTGCAATCTGATGATTTTAACTCTTGCAGATACCTTGCTGCGGGACAGCTGGGTCAAATAGAATTTCTAGTTTTGCTGTTTTGAGGAATCTCCAGTGATTTCCATCGTTATTGTACTAGTTTACATTCCCATCAACAATGTAGCAAAGTTCCTTTTTCTCTACATCCTTGCCAACATTTGTTAAATTTTTTTTTATGATAACCATTCTTTCAGGCATAAGATGGTGCCTCAATGTAGTTTAAGTTTGCACTTCTCTGATGGCCAGTGATGGGCATTTTTTCCCTGTTTTTATTGGCTATGTGTACTTCCTTTTCTGAGAAATGTCTATTCATTTCAGCTGTCCATTTTTTGATGGGTCTCTTATTTTGGGGGGGGGTCTAATTTTTTTGAGTCTTTTATATATTCTTGACATTAGTCTCTGGTTGGAAAATTTTTTCCCATTCTGTAGATTGTCTCTCCATTGTTAGTTGTTTCCTTTACTGGGCAGTTTTTTAATTTGATATGATCCCATTTGTTGCTTCTCCATATCACTTCTTGTCCCACTAGGGTTCTGCTGAGAAAGTTTTGCCCATGCCTGTGTCTTGAAAAGCTGTACCAGTTTTACCTTCCAGCAGACTGTTTCTATTTTAACATTTAAATCTTTCAACCATTTTGATTTTAGTTTAGTACATGGTGAGATACATGGGTCGACTCAATCATTACCACTGACATTAAAGAGGCTTTCTTCTGACAGTGCATATTTTTGGCCCCTTTGTCAAATATTGAATAGCTTTATGTGCCTAGGGTTGTTTCTATTTTTATTTTGTTTCACTGATCCACATGCCTGTTTTGTGCCAGTACCATGCTGTTTTAATCACCGTAGCTTGATAGTATAGTCTGGGATTTGATGCCACCTGCTTTGGTTTTGTTAACCAATGTTTTTTGCTATTCTGTGTCTTTTCTAGTTTCAGTCTGATGTTATTCACTGTAGAGGCCTTTAACTTCCTTAGTTAGGTTAACAGCTAAGTATTTTAATTTTTTTGATGCTAGTGTGAATGGTAGTCTTCCTAATTGCTTTTTCCGTGAGTTCATTAGTGTATAGGAATGCTATTCATTTTTGTGTTTATTTTGTATCCTGGTACACTGCTGAATTTGGTTACCAATTCTAGGTGTCTTTTGGCAGTTTTTTGCATGTTGTAAGTAAAGGATCATGTCATTTGCAAATATTTTGACCTCATCTTTTGCTATACGTATCCCTTTTCTCTTGCCTGATTGCTGTTTCCTGGACTATATTGAACAGGAGTGGTGATAATAGACATCTTTGTCTTATTCCTGATTTTAGAGGAAAGGCTTTTTACCTCTTCATTTAATGTCAGCAGTAAGTTGGTTATAAATGGCTTTTATCATGTTGAGCTGAAGACCTTCTATATCTATTTTCCTCAGTTTTTTTTTTTTAAATCATGAATGGATGTTGAATTTTGCCAAATGCAAAGGCTTTTTCTGCATCTATTGAGATGACCATGTGATCTTGTTCTTGCTTCTGTTTATGTGAATTTCATTTATTTATTTATTTATTTTGGTTTTTCTCCGGTACCAGGAACCGAACTCACGACCTTGCGCTTGCCAGGCAGGCGCTTTGCCGCTGAGCTAAATCCCCAGCCCCCTGTGAATTTCATTTATTGATTTGTACGTGTTGAACCATCCTTGCATTCCTGGGATGAAGGGTCATGATGTATGATCTTTTTGGTGATTTGATCCCAGAACTATTCAACAGGAAGAGATAACAATTACAAACATGCACCAAACCAATTCTGATGGATTCACTCCCAAAGTCTGTAAGAATTTCACAAATATCAAAGCACCTTATAGAACTGTTTTCCTTCCACTGATACACTTTCAGACGTAATTCTGGTGTAGCTCATGATTTCCTCTCCCCTCAACATCCCCTATAATGATTTGGGGGAAGGTGGGAGTTTTTGGAGGCATTTTGTTGCCTTTTCATGTTTTTGGTATTTCATGTGCTACAGTTTGTAAGTTCTTTGGCCCAGTGCCCTTTTCTTTGGGAGTGAACCACAGTATTTTTTCATGACCTCTCAGGCAATCCAGTTATTGGCCTGGAGAGAAAACCAACTCCTGGCCACTACATTACTTTTGTCTCTGATAGTAAATTCAGTAAAATGGCATTAACTGTCAACTGGGTATGGACTAGGCCTAGGAACCACTCATGGAGCAGCCCTTTATTAAAACAGAGGACTCTGAATTTTAGTGTAGATAATTAGGCACCTCCTTCATATTGAATTATAGTAATTTAGACCACTGATTTCTGCTGGATATTGGCAGCAGTGCCTGAGTTCAAAAATAAGACTTTACCCCTTCTTCTTCAGAACTACCCCCTCTGGTGATTACTTCCACTAAACCTGACCTCCCCCAAACGATACAGGCCTGTGACCTCCCTGGTCTGTAAATCCTATTTAGCTCTCACCCTCTTCAAGCCTATCTCCCAAGGCTGTCTCTTACTTGATCCCTATGGAAGGGTATGAATTCTGTCCTGAAACGAAAGCTTCCTCCTGAGCGATGGTCTCTTCTTTGAGGCCAGTCTGTTGGTTATCAACTCTGCTGTCGTGTGCTGTGGAGAAGCCAGGGACTGGAGGCTGTGTGTGCAGTTTTCAGGTCAGTGTCCGCGTAGGCTAGGGGTAGGGTGTGCACTTCCCAGGACGTCCGCCTGCTTTTATTGTCGCTTAACTGTTAAAGAGTTACTAATGATTTGTGGCGGTTTTTTTTTTTTTTTCCTTGCAATACTAGGAACTGAACCCAGGGAGTGATGAGCTATATCCCCAGCCCCTTTTATTTTAAGACACGACTGCCCAGGCTGGCCTCAACCTGAGCCTTTCCCGGTTCAGCCAACTGAGTTGTTAAGCTGTTATAGGTGTGCATCATCATGTCTGGACTGTTTTTCTTTGGTACTGGGAATTGAACTCAGGGCCTTGTGCTTGCCGCTGAGCTATATCCCTGGCCTTGGTCTGTTCTTTATTACAGACTGGGATGCTTTTCTGTGAGAGGCAACAGCGTAAATTGTTTTAGGCTTTGCAGACTTTGTGTTGTAACTACTCAACTCTGCCACTGCATATCAGCAGCCGAAGACCCTAACTGAAAGAATAAGTGTAGGTGTGTTCCAATAAAATCATTTACAGAAATACCTATTGTGCTGGATTAGGCCTGACCCTGGGGACTGGTCTGTTTTACTCTCTGAGAAAAATCTCTTCTACTGTGCTTCCAATGAATATCTACAAAGACACCTTGATGCTTCTGTATCTCCAATTACTAGCTACATTTAAGTGTCTCTTGGCATTGCAAACCATAACAAAGGAATTGTGCTCCTGTCCCCTAAACTGGGGTCCGCTTAGTGTTTTCACTTAGAGACACTGCTACCTATACAGCTGCATAAGGCAGGAAGCAGGAACCATCCTTGACACTTTCCTTCTCATTGTGTGGAAAAGAAGGGCTGGAAATGGCATTATTTGAAGCACACAATCAAATTTAACATTTCACTAATAGAGCTAAACTTTATTTCCATGTTTATTACATGTTTGTCTTTGATGTTGAGTACATATTAGGACTGATTTAACATACAGCTTGGGAGAAGACTGACATTCTCCACTGAATGGGTTAAAAAGGAATGTAAAAACTACAAAATACTAGTTAAATGTGCGTTCTAAATTATGGTAAACAGAACAATAAATATCTTGCCATTTTGCTCTAATCAAGATGATTTTCACTACAAAACTTTTTCATAACAATTTATTTCAAGAAAGGAAATAAGGGATAGTCATAAAAACCATTTAAGTGTAGGGTACAAATAAATTAAGAATTTTAACATAGAACTCCTACCTTCTACTTAAAATTATGACTTGAGAGGGATTAATTAGTGTCAACTATAGATCTAATGACTTAAACCCACCTACTTCTGTCAGGAAGAGTTAGGCTGACTTATAGGTGATGAAACCAGTTCTATTTGGCATTCACGTTTAACCATTTGATGCTCAGGATGGGGATGGCCAGATACTAAGTGTGCACTCAGAAATTCAGAATTAATCAAGATCAAGTGGCTCAGAGCTAACAGAATTAATCATTCTACCTCCTGATCTGTAGCTATGTACAAATGGGTAGCTTTTACCATTCACTGAAAGTTTCAAGACAAAATTCCCCTAGATATTCTGAGCTGCTAAAATTCACAGGACACTAAGAATACTGCCTGTGGTATAATTCCAATGTTTAAACATGGACAAAATTATGGTGGTTATCAAAGTTGGTATTGGTAATATAGTTTCTTTCTTTGTAACCCCCTTAGCACATTTCAGGAAGAAAGGTGTGTCATTTTACTACTAGTCTTTAGGTACATTAAAAAAAGCTTAAATTATTATTTAGCATGGATAAACCTATCTTCTTTCTAATGCCACTTGAACAGTGATTAACTCACCTATCTTTAGGTTATTCCAATGATAAAACATTTTCTTATGTAACTGTTTAAGACAGATGATTCATGACTTTTCGATTTTTAAAATTTCATACTTAGTGTCATATTAAGCTTTTCTAAACCAGTTGCCTCGTATTAGCTTTTTAAGAAAGGACAAAAGATAATGCCACATCACATATTTAGCTTCCTTCCTTCCCTGAAAGCCAACATTTCTCTTAATGGCACACTCCTTTTCTCAGAGCATGGGGCCAGTCATTTTCTTGGGTAATTTTGAGGAAAGGGACATATGGTAAACAACTCAGGCTTTCTGGGTCATGTGGTCTCTGCTGCAACTCCTCACCTTCTACTGTTGTATGAGAAAGCAGCCGCAGTCAGTATGTATATACAAAAAAATGGAGCAGCCCACCAGATCTGGCCTGTGGGGCAGCATACGTGGCCAGCCCCTACCATAGAAAATGGACAATATACGAAACTGGCCTCTAGTCAGACGTGGAGACTGACTCAGAGCCTAGCAGTTAATCACTCTAATACCCTGAGGTGGAACACTCTGAATTCAGCTATCTCCCTTTAGTTAAGACTCTTCTACTAAAACTCATGTCATCATGCTTTTTATCAGGAATAATTTATCCTCATTTAAGAAGTTGCTTGGGTATTGTTATTGAGAAATTCAATTTAAAATTCATAAAGGATATCCATATAATTTAATATCCAATTTAATTTTTAAAAAACTTAATGAAAAATGTAACAGAATCAAAACATTTAAAATAAGTACACTCACTACCCACTCCAGTTTATTCATTTAAGTCATACCAACTATAGAATATGAAAAATAAATTCAGAAGTATAATTGCTTTAAAATACACTACTTCCACTTTTTCAATATTTTACATTTATGTATATATTCTACAGTGGAAGCAGAATTTCTCTCTAAAAACATTATCTCCTTAAAATCTTGAGGTGCATATTACAGCCACAGGCAATATCTGACATATAAAACTGTAGTACAGGCCTTTCAAATTTGGCATTTCACTGGTACAATACAATGACCAAGGTATGTACAGTGCCTAGACATTCCAGTAAGAACCATTATTTTCTTAGATGTAGAATGATTAATACATATTCTACAAGGGGCAGTGCGGTTAGTAATTCTAAAGGGTATGTCCTGACATAATTTCAATTGTACAACAACACAAACAACTTTGTTAAGGCCATGTTTTATTTGCTGATTAATGGACAAAGGCAATGTAATTTATTTTCAAGTATTTTCTTGAAAGTCTGTGCTCATAAAAATCATGAAAACTTGGAAAGACTGTTAAATCACTGAAACTTTAAATATATCTTACACAATCTTGTTTGTACAAAAATACAAGTTAAATATAAACATAAAGCAATCATGATAATTGTATGCAAATCTGTTTCATGTGATCTTTAGTATATATAAAAGTTTCTTGGTTCTGTTACTTGTGAAAAGATCAATACCAGATTGAGTTACTATCTATTGGCAAAGGGCCCTAAAAAGCTTACTTCAGCATTAATCTTTCACAATGGTTATGTGTGTTGCCTAATTTGAGATCACCTAAATACTGGAAACAAAAGAAAAAAAGGGCAGTTATGTCCATAAACCAACAAATAATTTGGCTGTAATGTATCATAAAACACAAAGAAACCCCACAGCTGTACAATAAACATTATGTACTACATACTGTCACACGGGTGCACATGTGCACATGCACCCACAGGACAAAGCCTAATGAGGCGCTGCTTCCAGTTCTATGTTCAGTTGTGCATTCTTTCTTACTTCATCAAACGAATAGCTTTTGGTCACCTTCCCATTCTTGAAGACAGTATGGAGAAGATCCTGCAGAAATGTAAATTTAATGATTAAAGAGACCATCAAACTAAATATGTGAATCATGTTTTAACAAATTTACCTAACTGGTCAAATACAGAGATGTGGATGGTGTTCAAGTTAACAATATATTACATTCTTCAGCTAACTTCCTTAAAAAATGAACTGACTTAAGCATTCAATTTTCTTCTGGCCTACAAGCTTGCTTGCCTGGGAGAATTGAGACTGTCACCGTAGACACTGACAGCGCAACCACACAAGCCCTCAGTGTCTACCTTCCCTCGTTCCTGGACAACAGACTCAAAACTGATTAAACTTCACAAGTTTAATCAATTTGCTAGTCACTAAATTTTAACCTAACAACAACACTAAATGAAAAGCAAACCTCAAACAGAAACACAGGTAGTGACTTCACGCACAGAGACTGAGTGAAGGACTCTACCCTTCGAAGTCACTGCTAAGTGTAACCCACTCCATCAGATAAGGGTAACCAGATAGAGAACAAGGACTGAATTCACTTTGGATCTGATAACGCCGTTCCTGTCTCACTAAGGAGTTGGCTGCGTCTAATTTCTCTTTCAAAAAATTTTACAGAAATAATTTCTTTTTTTTTTTTTTTTTTTTTTTTTTTTTTTTTTTTTTT